TTTCTTTCTCTCTCTCTCTCTCTTTCTTTTTCTCTCCCTCTCTCTCTCTCTCTCTCTCTCTCTCTCTCTCTCTCTCTCTCTCTCTCTCCCTACGTATATGTATATATACACATGACTACACACAAACACACACAAACACACATATATACATATAAATGAGTGTGTGCATGAGTGTACGTATGCCGGAACTAAGCGACAAAACTAAACCTAAAAAAACAAACAAAAAGAAACCTTATCGAGTGATTGACAATTCTGTTTCAATTCAAATGCTTCAATACATTAGGATAAAGAGCGACAAAGCCCGACAGGTTTACAAGGGAGGTTTTAAAGGGAGCGGTTTTGCGTGGGCGGCGGCCGGGGGGGGAGGGGGAGGGCAGGGGAGGGGAGGGGGTATTACGAGGAGGAGGAAAGGGAGACGAGGGAGAGGGGGAGGGAGGAGGAAAGGGAGAGGGAGAGGGAGAAGGAGGGAAGGGGAGGAGGAGGAGGAGGAGGAGGGGGAGGAGGAGGAGGGGGAGGAGGAGGAGGAGGAGGGAGAGGGAGAGGGAGAGGCGGGAGGGAGAGGGAGGAAGGAGTGGGAGAGGGAGAAGGAGGGAAGGGGAGGAGGAGGGAGAGGGAGAAGGAGGGAAGGGAAGGAGGGAATAGGAGAGGGAAAGAGAAGGGGAGTAGGAGGGAGAGGGAAGAGGAAGGGTAAGGGGGAGGGATGGAATGAGGAGGGAGAGGGAGGGGGAGTGAGAGGGAGAGGAAGGGTTAGATAGGGAAAGGAAAATGGACATGGAAGAGGAGAAGGAGAGGAAGAAGGGAGAAGAAGAAGGGAGAAAGAGAGGGTGAGGGGGAGAGAGGGAAACGGGAAGGGGGGGAGGGTGTAAGGAGGAGGCAGACGGAGGAGGGAAGAGGAATGGGTAAGAAAAGAGTGGAGGGCGAGATAGCACTCTCAGGAAGGGAGGGAGAGAAGGGAAAGAGTGATAGGGAGGGAAGGAAAGAGGAAAAGGGATATGACAAAAAAAGGGAGGAGGAAGAAGAAAGGGAGACGAATAAAGAAATAAAACGGCTGAAGACAGGCGAATGGACGAATAGCCACATAAAGCTAAAACAGACAACAGAAGAAGAAAACAGAAACAAAGAAACAAAGCAAGAAAAAAAACAGACAGATGAACAGACACGAATAAACAAACGAAAAAAAAATCAAGGGAAAACACAAAAATAACACACCAAACAGAACGTTAAAACGGCGCCTTCAACATCGAAAAGAACAGGTTAACAACGGAGAAAATTCGCGACGACTTCTAAACCCAAGAACCCTAGTCGTTCAGAGGTCGTCGCCACCATAACTCCGGTCGCCTCGAAATGCCCCAGGTCTTTTAGTCCCTTCTTTCCCATTATTTGCCTGTTTGTCTGTCTGTGTGTCTGTCCGTCTATCTGTCTGTCTATCTGTCTGTCTGTCTATCCGTCTGTCTGCGTGAGTGGGTGGGTGAGTGGATGAGTGATCTCCTTCCCTCACTCTCCTTCCATTCAAACCTCCACCTCTCCCTCTCTCTTTCTCTTTCTCCCCTTTCTCCTCCTTTCATCCTCTCTCCCTCCTTCTCCCTCCCTCTTCGTTTCCCTTCCCCTTCCCCCATTTCTCCACCTCCCTCTCCCTCTCCATCTCCCCCTCCCACTCCTCACCCTCTCCACCTCCCCTCCCCTCTCCCCCACCCACCCCTACTTCTCTTTCTCCCTCATTTTTTTTCCCATCTCCCTCTCCCTCCCTCTTCTTTCATCCCTCCCCATCTCCCTCTCCTCCCCCCCTCCCCCACCCTCTCTTTCTCTCCCTCCTCCTCATCCCAATCTCCCTCTCCTTCCCCATCCCGTCCCTCTCTTTCTCCCTCCTCCTTATCCCCGATCTTCCTCTCCTTCCCCCCCTCCCCCACCCTCTCTTTCTCCCCCCCTCCCCCCCCCTCTCTTTCTCCCCACGAAAGGCAAATTGCCCGAGATCGTTATGCAGGACTTCAACGCCGCCCAAAAGACCCGACCTCGGCTGCATACGTGTAGAGGGTGTTGATGGGAGGGCGGCTCAGGGGGAGGAGATACACGCCCACGCCCACGCACGTCCACAGAGACATAGATTCATACATACACACACATACACATAAACGTACACAGGCGTGCACTGGCTTACTCACACGTATATACACTTTGTAAAGTTTGGAGAGAGAGAGAGAGAAAGAGAGAAGGGGAGGAGAGAGAGAGAGAGAGAGAGAGAGAGAGAGAGAGAGAGAGAGAGAGAGAGAGAGAGAGAGAGAGAGAGAGAGAGAGAGAGAGAGAGAGAGAGGGGGGGGGAGGGAGGGAGGGAGGGAGGGAGGGAGGGAGGGAGGGAGGGAGGGAGGGAGGGAGGGAGGGAGAGAGAGAGAGAGAGAGAGAGAGAGAAAGAAAGAGGAAGCGAGAGAAAGAAAGAAAGAAAAGAAATAATAAAAAGAAAGAGAGAAAGAGGAAGAGAAAAGCCGCTAGAGAGAAAGAAGGAACC